CCTACACAAATCTTTGAGATAGGTATAAGGCCACCTTAAAAGGAGTAAGGCATCCTATTCTCATCTTTCGAGATCGGTCTAAGGCCACCTTAAATGGAGTAAGGCATTTGATTCTCCGCACAAATCTTCGAGATAGGAATAAGACCACCTTAAATCGAGTAAGGCATCATATTCTCATCTTTCTTAATCAATCTGCTTACTCTTTGAGAGCGGTTAAAGGCCATCTTAAATGGAGTAAGCCATTTGATTCTCTTCACAAATCTTTGAGATAGGTGTAAGACCACCTTAAATGGACTAAGGTATCCTATTCTCATCTTTCGAGATCGGTCTAAGGCCATGTTAAATGGATTAAGGCATCTAATTCTCTACAAAAATCTTTGAGATAGGTATAAGACCACCTTAAATGGAGTAAGGCTTCTTATTCTCATCCTTCGAGATCAGTCTAAGGCAACCTTAAATGGAGGAAGGCATCTGATTCTTTATACAAATCTTTGAGATAGGTATAAGACCACTTTAAATTGAGTAAGGCAGTCTATTCTCATCTTTTGAGATTGGTCTAAGGCCACCATAAATAGAGTAAAGCATCTGATTCTGTACACAAATCTTTGAGATAGGCATAAGGCCACCTTAAATTAAGCAGGGCACCCCATTCTCATTTCTCTGCACTTTTGGTGCCTCTTAAGTTGGATGTGAGGCTCTATGCATTCCATCCTAATATGATCTCTTCACATATTTCTGCTTTCCTAAATTAAATTTCCACTAAATCAAAATAAAAATAAAAATTGAAATTAAAATTAAAACATTGAAATCAAATCTTCTATGTGACCATCAATTTCCCTGATGATTATCTCTACAAATTTGTCGTGCAACCCCTCACTTGGGTTAGCAAGCACAAATCACCTTGTGAATTTCAAATTCACTCTTGAAATTGACATCCTGAAGGTACACCCGCTAATCCCTGACGAGAGTTTTGGAGTCTTCAAATTTGATTGAGGATTCCTTTAATACTCCCCAGCAGAAACCTTCTTCAGATTTCTTTTGTTCCGCTCTAAGCAAGTTAGCTTAGGCTATCGTGTTGGTTTGTTGATCTCGTCGGTCAATGCCAATATATGAAGTGTGTTTACCCAAGTACATTACACCTATTAGGGATCCATTTGTTGATCTCACTTTTGGTTGAGGTCTAGTTTCTTCCTTATAAGCCTAGGATCTAGCTATATGATTTTCTTGTTAACTATTCCTAGAAGAATAGTGATGGAACCCTCACCAGTAGAAACTCTAAATTCTTCTTTTCGCATCCTGAAGTTCCACATGTTGGTTTTAACCTCTAAGACTTAGTAGGTGGAGCCAGTAATGAAGAGCTCAGAAGAAGTCCCCATTGGACTGTTTGGCCTTAAGGTTAACCCTGGGTGATGTGGGCTTGGTTAGGTCTACACGCACTTTCACTTGCACTCACAACCTCAATCTTAACCTAATCATGTCTAGCTTGGTCCGTTACTCTATTGGAAATTCTTGGTCTCTTAAACCATTATCCCTATGCTAGAGTTTGACTAAGATCAGGACATGGAGGATCCATAATGGGAGTTCCCTTGGTCTCATGGCTCAAAAAGGTTAATTTTATGATTAAAATTCTCAATTGATCCCAATTTTACTAAATTCCCAATTTTGACCATTCTTGGCCTCAATTTTTCAAATTACCAAATTAACCATAAACCCTAGATTTTCCAAAAATTTCCAAAATTACCCAAATTCTCAAAGTCTCTTCAAAAATCATTTTAAACCATTCAAAATCACTCAAGTTGACCATAATACACCAAAATTTCTAAAATCCCCAAAATTACCAAAATACCCTTTATACCCCAAAAATTCAAAAAATTACCAAAAATCTCCAAAACCACTCCAAATGTACCTAAAATCAATTTGAACCACTCCATTGAGCCCAACGTGACCAAATTAACCCCTTTTGACCAAAATCCCAAAATTGACCCTAAATGACTTAATTCCTCAATCCTGCCCCAATCTCCACCAAATTGACATCAATCACACTCAATTTCAATTATAAATCAAAATTCATCATATTCAATCCCAATTGAGACCAAAACCAAGTCCAATTGAACCAAATCTCAAGCCCAATTCTAACCCCAATTTCAAAACCCTAATTTTGCCCCAAAAATCCAACATTTACTCAAATTAAACTTCATAACCCTTCAATTTTCCTCCCAATAGATATCTAAAACTCTTCATCACAATCTCTTAGACCAATTTGAACTTTTAATTGATTCACACCCAAGTCTAGCCCAAATGCCTCAAAATTGACCATGAGCCAAATTCCACCAAACTGAGCCTGCCAATCAAATCAAAATCACCCAATTCTTTTTCAAAACTTCTCATGACAATTATCCACACCAATTTAAGCAATAAATTGACAAATATCTTAACCCAATCCCAACCTAGACCCAAGTTCAAACCCATACCTCAATTTTGAACTCAAGCTCCAAATTTGACCAAAGCAATTCAATTTGACCAAACCCTGGTAACCACATCCGACACTTGAGCCCTAGAAACCAGGCTACATCCACCTAGCACAAACTAGTTCCGCCATGGACCAAGGATCCCTCAAATCAAAGGATTTCCTTCCTAAATTGGCTAAACCAAGGGAGATATGTCATCAGCCATCGAACCTTTAAGCTAATCGCCATTAAACCATCCCTTGGATCCCCTGAGCTACCTAACTATCAGCTCTGGTCTGGTTGACTGGCCTAGTAGTCAAAAAACATGAAAACCAGAGCCACCCCAAGCCTTTAGCCCAAAATTGGAACTTTCTGAGTTGGCTCACCCCAATTGGCCATTGGCGCCGCTTAGCCTTCCATATAATTAGTTTTTTGCACCCATTAGCCAGCTCTGGTGGCCACCATTCCTCTACCTATTTAAACTCCACCTCCCACAGCCAAAAGGAGAGATCACCAATTTGCTTGGAGAGACACTGTCAAATTGTTCCTAGAGCTTCTCATAGCCCTCCTGAGTTCAACCCCACAGTTCTCAGTCACCCACAACATCTTCCTGAGCTCAATTTTGAGCTCAAAATTCAGGACATTTTTTGTCATTCCCTGAAACTCCACCAATCACCAAATTAACTTGCTCCTCACCTTTCCTAAACCAGACAAAGAGGATCCCCATCAAAGCCCCCCTCTGGTGAGCACCCTAACCTAGTTCAAGACCAAGGCCACACCACTTGTTGGAGGAACTCTTGTCTAGACCTATACTAGAACAAAGAGACACTTGTAAGAGGTTTGTCAGACTCTACTAAAGCTTTTCCAAGCATCCAATTGAGGCCACCCCTCCTGGACACAGGTATACGCCATTTTCCCCAAACCGGGAATTGCCCACCATGCATAAGTACCCGTATAGATAGATTCGTCCGGACCAGATGAAGGTGTAAGAACAAACCTCATTTGATTTCATTGAGTATCAATTGAGATCTTAAGGTTTTAAGTTGGAAGGTTCTCGGGTTAAGACGATGACGAAGAGTTGTTGGATCGCGCGTGTATCGTTTGGATGACTGAGATTGCGCCGAGCAGAGGGATGAAACATAAAACACGGGCTAAGTAGGTGGCTACGTGGACGACAATGTCAAATGGCAGAGCGATGCATGTGAGTTCGGAGCGTTGTAGGATGAGGTGGCGCTGAGTCGGATAAGTAGAAAAAAAATGTATTAAAGGGATTTATTTAATTCACAGACTTAAAAAATGCATAACTTTGTGTAGAAAAATCATAAAAATAAAATAAAAATACCATGTTACTCAGTAAATAGAAAATAATAATGTGGCATATAAATAAAAATTAT